ATAAATTATAAATCATTGTTTTAATTATATAAAACTATTCTATATCATAGGCACCCAATATCATAAGCACGAGTCTTGAAATGCACGCAAAGGAAGATTTTCAAAAACAGAAATCTTCAGTTACCACGACGGATGATGAAAATGGTATGCAGAATCAAAACGAAACACGTATAAAGTCTGAAGGATTGTTCAAGTTCAAGACGGAGTTAAAGTGGTGGAATGCCGTATCGATTATACTTCTTCACATGAGCATGTTGTATTTCTGTTACACTTTTAAATGGTTCGAAGATGTCAGGACAATCATTTGGAGTGAGTATTCTTTGAAAAATTGCAAACTTCATTAATTCGAGTTTTTAACTTGCGGGAAAAAATATTTAAATAAAAAAAAATAAAATTTGTTTTTTTTTAAATAAAACTGATTATTTTTTTAAATACTTTTTTATATAAATATGTGTGTGTGTAAAGGTTTCACATATGTAACAATTTGCTTGAAAGTGTATCACGCGTTTACTAAGAATGTGTAGTTACCAACTGCTGAAATCGACATTGACTGATTGAAAGCCAATCGATTAGACTTACGTGATAAAAGAAAAACGCGATAAAAGCTTGACAGCAGACAAGCTAAAGCTCCATTTTGAATATACTAAAGTTGAAAATACTAAACTTTATAATCAAATAGATAAATTTTAATTTTTATGTCATTTTTTGCAAAAATTTCTTATCTTATATTTAATAAAAGTCGCTATAATTTTTAATAGCGTTTTATAATAAACCTATTATGCTCATGATTATGAAATACATATGATTATGATTACATTATTAATTATGTATAATTTTATAACTACATTAATTAATTTGGTTGGCCCTTCTTATTTTAAGTGATCATCATGGGTGTAATACAAGGGCTGGGAGTTACTGCCGGTGCTCATCGTTTTTGGACTCATCGAGCTTACAAAGCAAAATGGCCGCTTAGAATTATACTTCTCATTTGCTATACTTCGGCTGGCCAGGTAAATAAGTTTTTAGTTGATTTTTTTACTGCAAAAAGAGAATACTTTTCTTTACAATAATTTTTTTTTTTTTTTTGTTGGGCTTACGATCTCAAGCAACCGTCCGAAGAACTCGTAAAAACCGTCATAATGAAGAGAGGTGACAGGAATCATTCTCTGCGACAAAGTGTGAGTGATACCTCACATCTAGACAGTAAAATTGATTAATATTAATAAATAAATAATGACACGGGCAAATGAGAGTCAAAGCGCTGGGTGAGGGTGAAAATTAATTAATAAATATAAATATCTTTTTCAAGTTTCTTCGGAATTCAGCAACAGATCATTTGATTAAGATGATGTAGAAGTTTATTGTCAATAGATTTATCAGATTTTCAGAATTAAAAATATTGATAAGTGTATGTGTGTATGTATAACAAATATCGTATTTTAAAATATCGTACTTTAATACAGAGCAGTATTTAATTTTTTAACACAATCGGGAATTTTAATCAAACATTGACTTATTCGTTCAACCTCAGAAATATATTTGAATAGTTAAATCAGTTCAAACTGATTTCAGACGATTTACATAAACTAAAACGCACAAAATGCGTAGCAACTAGAAAAAAAAAAATTTATCTGTTTACAACGAATATTGTTATTGTTAAAAAAATTTCTTTAGAATAAAGAATGTTTAAATAGTCATATATTTGATTCAATCAAACAAATTATGTTAAAAAAAAATTTGTTCAAATTTTTTGTCTAAACTTTAATGCGAAACATAATTTTCTTTACATTTTCTTACCATTAATTAATTTGCTGGTAACTAATTTTGCAATATATCCGTTATCTCTTCTTAATCGCATGTCTTTAAAAGAGATATTAAAGAATGCATATTATATCCAAAGCTTTCTATCTAAACATCATAGTTATTAAGTAATAAAAAAATTTGTGCTGTTATTAAAATGCTGTTTGTACAAAAAAGAAAATATTATAAATATTCATTATACATGACACTAAATGATAATTTGGCTCTCGTTCATTGACCCCGTATACCTCATTTTGACATAAGAACATTACTTGTGTTTCCGCTCTGACACTATTTGACCTTATTAATCCGAACGCAGGCAAATGAGTTCTATTTTCAATCTAATGTACATTGCAGAATATGGTCTTATCCGTTGAATGTAAATTTCAGAGAAATAATAGCTGATGCGTGCGCGCTCTGTTTCGGGGACATTCTATATATATATATCGCGCGAGTAGTAGTAAAACAGAATTTTTTTGACACACGGACCATTCAGTTAGATTAAAGTGCGTGACGAAGGAACTTACGAATATACTTCGTTTTTCGGATTTCGTGTAATAAGCTTTTTGCATTTTGCATTTAGTTAAGAGTGATAAACAAATTATATCGCAATATATTGAGAAATTGACAATTTGAATATCTTAAAGTTAAAATTTCTTGTAAAATTCTGCAAGTTGATAGCTTATACTGGGTGTAACTAAACAAACGCATATGGACAATACTATCAGATACAGAACAACAATTCAAATCGAATATTGTTATGATAACTTATGATTGCGGTTACACTTTACTATTATATATATTAAATAAAACTTTTTTACAGCATGACATCCAATACATTGGAAAATTTTGCAATGAAATTTGAAGAGACTGTAAAAAGCGGAGTACCGGCGAAAGAATCACATACGATCAATTATGAATGGAAAATTGTTTGGAAAAATGTCATTGTTTTTATTTATATTCATCTTGCCACCATTTACGGATTATATCTAGCTTTTTGTTACGCTAGTCTTCGAAGCTTTATGTGGTGTACGTATTTTATTTATTTGTGTCGTTCTACATACAAGCTTAAATTACATTGGTTATATCAATACAATAATAAAGTATGCATTATCAAAGATCATTTGCAATTTACAGATTTCAGTTTTGGTATGCTTTCGGGTATAGGCGTCACTGCTGGCGCTCATAGATTATGGTGTCATCGATCTTATAAGGCAAAATGGCCAATGAGACTTATTCTTATCATTTTTCATACTGCTGCTTTACAGGTAAGCTCGATTTTAATTTTTTACCTTCTTGTTTAAGTATCGTATAGAACTCACACTTTTATGAACTATTGATTAGAGCTCTACATTTTCTTTTTCGTAACGTGATGTTAATTGTTTATTAATAAGTTATATTTTTCAGGATAACCTTTACCAGTGGGTCAGAGATCATAGAGTACATCATAAATTCACCGATACTGACGCAGACCCGTATAACGCGCGTAGAGGATTTTTTTACTCACATATTGGCTGGCTTATGGTTCGCAAACATCCGGACGTCATCAGGAAGGGTGCCACGGTCGACATGAGCGATCTCGATCGAGATCCTCTCGTGGTCTTCCAAAAAAAGTATGACAGGCACAGTCTATTCTTACGGAAGCAAATTGGATACATATTATTTTGTTCGTTTGATTTTATTGATATTGTCTTATTTATTCACATCTTTTTTTAGATGGTACTCATATTTGGCGTTGTTTTTATCTATTGTCGTGCCAACCATAGTACCTTGGTGGGGATGGGGTGAGAATTTGTGGTATGCATGGCATTGGACCGTTACCAAATATTGCATAAACTTAAATATCACTTGGTCGGTGAATTCTGCGGCTCACATGTGGGGTGTAAAACCATTTGATAAGTACGCACTTGTACTGTATGCGACTTATTATATGCAAACGTGTGCTTCGTGTCCTTGTTTAGAAATGTTTATTTTATAGATCAATCACCCCTACCGACAATGCTGGTGTCTCTTTCTTAACACTTGGCGAAGGCTGGCACAACTATCATCACGTCTTCCCTTGGGATTACAAAGCAGGAGAGTTTGGAAATTATTGGTTCAATTTTACCGCAACTTTTATCGACCTCTGCGCTTATCTAGGTTTAGCTTATGATTTAAAAACTGCATCTGCCAATATGGTAAAGAAACGTGTTCTTCGAAGCAGCGAAATGAGTTATTAACTCTAATCTAATAAAATTAAATATAACGCCAATCAACTTTTAATCTTTAAGATAAATTGTCAGAAAGTAATTCGTTAGCTCCTTAGCGCCTTGCCTTCTGAACTGCAACCGCTCTGTCGTTCGCGAGACACTCGGTTGCTCCAAAAAATTTATTTAAACAACTGCAAAATTATGGTATATAACGTCAGCGTCTTTATTAAATCTTTGTGCCGTCGAATCTGACTTTCCTTATCTCACGCTCGTTCCATTTCGCGCATTCGCTCCGCTCGTGGACATATTTGAATGCTAAATATATAGAGTGTCCCATCAAAAGTGGCTACTCTCTTTTATCTTTTAAACTAAAAGAGATAGACCATAACAAATATATAACAAATTAAATGGTTTAAACTTATTATACATACCTCATATTATTATACATATCTCTCCGTTTGTTAACACAGATAGCTTTTATAACTACTATGGTCACAATGGAGTTCAGTTTGAACCATTTAATTAGATATATATTTGTTATGGTTTATCTCTTTTACTTTAAAAGATAAAAGGGGATGGCCTAACCTTTGGTGGAGGGGATAAACACCTTGTATATAATTTACAAACAAATATTGATTATTTCGTCTTGCTTCGGTACATAATAACTTTCGTACAATTTAGATTATGGATGATATCGATTAATTTCATATAATTTGCATATTTTTCCATTACGTGCATATCTTGTGATTTAATAGTGTCTTCATCTGCTGACATTGTGAATTTTGGATATTAGGGACGATTTTACAGACAATGATCTAATATTATCACGAACACGACTCTAAGGAAAGCGGTGTCTACAATGAGAATTTAAGCCTTAAGCCGTAAGAAATTAACCAATCTTATTCGATTATTCTTCTCACATTCAACTGTGAATATTCAATTCCTTACGGCTTAAGGCTTACTACACCTATTGTAGACACTGCTTAAGTTTCAAAAGATTTTAGCCGTCGCTCGTTTTTTATTAAAAATTTATTAACAAAATAAATTTAATTAATAGAATTTAATTTTCTGACACAATGTAAATTTAAGAAGGAATATATATCTTGCCGAGATTTTTTTTTTCTTAAATCTTCCAGGAGTTCCGACGACATATTAAGGGGATCCAAAAGCTCATCTGTTTTATCGACCATAATAATTAATATTTGCTTAATATAAAAGTTTTGCAGTTTGTATGTATAAAATAAGATAGGTCTCCACTCGGAAATGCATGAAAGAATATAAGTGAACATTTAGAAACATGTTTAGAAGCCTAGTAAAAAAGATTACTGTGTGCAAAATTTTGCAGACTATAGAAGAGTAATGAGAGATCTCTCATTACTCTGTGGTTAGTTAGTGAGTGTAGTTAAGATTTTGCGTTGCTGAAAAATTTTTGCTGTCGACTTGTGCGTTGCGCCTCTTTTATACACAATTATTAACATATCACCATGTTCGTGGATTCATGCTTAAAGAATCGAGGTTTCTGCCCCGAAATAACATGGACTACATGGAGAATGGTTTTTGCCTTTTGGAGCGACATGAGGGATTACGCCTTCTACCGTTGGTTACCATGTAACTCTACGGGATTTGCTCAAAAGATGGAAAGATGCAGATTTCATATCGCCCTCAACTTATAGATTTCTCAATTTTAGTGACGGAACCCTTAACAACCCATGGTTGCCTCGCAACACAAACAAACATAGGTTGCCAAGTGACTCCTACTCGGATAATTCAAACAAGTTCTGTGAATTGCTAGAATGTAGAGACGGCATTTTATATCGATTAGTTAAATATATGCTTTTCACGGCTCGCATATAATGTTTGACAATCTGGTATTGTCGTAATCATATTGTTTTTGTTGCCCACGTCATTTCTTCCTCATGTTGGACATACAGTGGCGTGCAAAAGTTTCCGGCTAGTGACATTTCGTATTCTAATTTATTAAAAAAAACCTAATGACTTATTAACCATTATCACGTGCGAGTATAACATATAGGAAACAAAATAATATAATGAAAGAATATTGTTTATGTTCGTGAAAGTATTTATAGTTATAATTGTTAGATTTACAAAATGTCACTGGTCGGAAACTTTTGCACGCCACTGTAGGTTGCACATAGGTTGCCAAGTGACTCCTACTCGGATAATTCAAAAAAGTTCTGTGAATTGCTAGAATGTAGAGACGGCATTTTATATCGATTAGTTAAATATATGCTTTTCACGGCTCGCATATAATGTTTGACAATCTGGTATTGTCGTAATCATATTGTTTTTGTTGCCCACGTCATTTCTTCCTCATGTTGGACATACAGTGGCGTGCAAAAGTTTCCGGCTAGTGACATTTCGTATTCTAATTTATTAAAAAAAACCTAATGACTTATTAACCATTATCACGTGCGAGTATAACATATAGGAAACAAAATAATATAATGAAAGAATATTGTTTATGTTCGTGAAAGTATTTATAGTTATAATTGTTAGATTTACAAAATGTCACTGGTCGGAAACTTTTGCACGCCACTGTAGGTTGCACATAGGTTGCCAAGTGACTCCTACTCGGATAATTCAAAAAAGTTCTGTGAATTGCTAGAATGTAGAGACGGCATTTTATATCGATTAGTTAAATATATGCTTTTCACGGCTCGCATATAATGTTTGACAATCTGGTATTGTCGTAATCATATTGTTTTTGTTGCCCACGTCATTTCTTCCTCATGTTGGACATACAGTGGCGTGCAAAAGTTTCCGGCTAGTGACATTTCGTATTCTAATTTATTAAAAAAAACCTAATGACTTATTAACCATTATCACGTGCGAGTATAACATATAGGAAACAAAATAATATAATGAAAGAATATTGTTTATGTTCGTGAAAGTATTTATAGTTATAATTGTTAGATTTACAAAATGTCACTGGTCGGAAACTTTTGCACGCCACTGTAGGTTGCACATAGGTTGCCAAGTGACTCCTACTCGGATAATTCAAAAAAGTTCTGTGAATTGCTAGAATGTAGAGACGGCATTTTATATCGATTAGTTAAATATATGCTTTTCACGGCTCGCATATAATGTTTGACAATCTGGTATTGTCGTAATCATATTGTTTTTGTTGCCCACGTCATTTCTTCCTCATGTTGGACATACAGTGGCGTGCAAAAGTTTCCGGCTAGTGACATTTCGTATTCTAATTTATTAAAAAAAACCTAATGACTTATTAACCATTATCACGTGCGAGTATAACATATAGGAAACAAAATAATATAATGAAAGAATATTGTTTATGTTCGTGAAAGTATTTATAGTTATAATTGTTAGATTTACAAAATGTCACTGGTCGGAAACTTTTGCACGCCACTGTAGGTTGCACATAGGTTGCCAAGTGACTCCTACTCGGATAATTCAAAAAAGTTCTGTGAATTGCTAGAATGTAGAGACGGCATTTTATATCGATTAGTTAAATATATGCTTTTCACGGCTCGCATATAATGTTTGACAATCTGGTATTGTCGTAATCATATTGTTTTTGTTGCCCACGTCATTTCTTCCTCATGTTGGACATACAGTGGCGTGCAAAAGTTTCCGGCTAGTGACATTTCGTATTCTAATTTATTAAAAAAAACCTAATGACTTATTAACCATTATCACGTGCGAGTATAACATATAGGAAACAAAATAATATAATGAAAGAATATTGTTTATGTTCGTGAAAGTATTTATAGTTATAATTGTTAGATTTACAAAATGTCACTGGTCGGAAACTTTTGCACGCCACTGTAGGTTGCACATAGGTTGCCAAGTGACTCCTACTCGGATAATTCAAAAAAGTTCTGTGAATTGCTAGAATGTAGAGACGGCATTTTATATCGATTAGTTAAATATATGCTTTTCACGGCTCGCATATAATGTTTGACAATCTGGTATTGTCGTAATCATATTGTTTTTGTTGCCCACGTCATTTCTTCCTCATGTTGGACATACAGTGGCGTGCAAAAGTTTCCGGCTAGTGACATTTCGTATTCTAATTTATTAAAAAAAACCTAATGACTTATTAACCATTATCACGTGCGAGTATAACATATAGGAAACAAAATAATATAATGAAAGAATATTGTTTATGTTCGTGAAAGTATTTATAGTTATAATTGTTAGATTTACAAAATGTCACTGGTCGGAAACTTTTGCACGCCACTGTAGGTTGCACATAGGTTGCCAAGTGACTCCTACTCGGATAATTCAAAAAAGTTCTGTGAATTGCTAGAATGTAGAGACGGCATTTTATATCGATTAGTTAAATATATGCTTTTCACGGCTCGCATATAATGTTTGACAATCTGGTATTGTCGTAATCATATTGTTTTTGTTGCCCACGTCATTTCTTCCTCATGTTGGACATACAGTGGCGTGCAAAAGTTTCCGGCTAGTGACATTTCGTATTCTAATTTATTAAAAAAAACCTAATGACTTATTAACCATTATCACGTGCGAGTATAACATATAGGAAACAAAATAATATAATGAAAGAATATTGTTTATGTTCGTGAAAGTATTTATAGTTATAATTGTTAGATTTACAAAATGTCACTGGTCGGAAACTTTTGCACGCCACTGTAGGTTGCACATAGGTTGCCAAGTGACTCCTACTCGGATAATTCAAAAAAGTTCTGTGAATTGCTAGAATGTAGAGACGGCATTTTATATCGATTAGTTAAATATATGCTTTTCACGGCTCGCATATAATGTTTGACAATCTGGTATTGTCGTAATCATATTGTTTTTGTTGCCCACGTCATTTCTTCCTCATGTTGGACATACAGTGGCGTGCAAAAGTTTCCGGCTAGTGACATTTCGTATTCTAATTTATTAAAAAAAACCTAATGACTTATTAACCATTATCACGTGCGAGTATAACATATAGGAAACAAAATAATATAATGAAAGAATATTGTTTATGTTCGTGAAAGTATTTATAGTTATAATTGTTAGATTTACAAAATGTCACTGGTCGGAAACTTTTGCACGCCACTGTAGGTTGCACATAGGTTGCCAAGTGACTCCTACTCGGATAATTCAAAAAAGTTCTGTGAATTGCTAGAATGTAGAGACGGCATTTTATATCGATTAGTTAAATATATGCTTTTCACGGCTCGCATATAATGTTTGACAATCTGGTATTGTCGTAATCATATTGTTTTTGTTGCCCACGTCATT